CTCGGAATCCAGACACATAGCTCAGGGTCCTAAAAGCAGGGAATCAAGAATATCAGCTTGACCATGACAAAGAAGACCCGGCCCGCAAGCGCTCCCAGGAAGGGCACTGGGGTCGGCCTTAAGTGACACGGGCCACCACCCTCCACCTGAGACACTGCAGGAAAGCCCACCCTCCCCAGCGCTGTGAAAGCTGCCACTCAGGAATGTACCCCGTGGGAAGATGTTAATCTGTGGTGACAAATCGAGGCTCTCAGTTCTCCAGATTGTGGGGGGGGGGAGAAAGGAGGGGGGAGAGGCCTCGCAGGACAGCTGGAAAGCTGGGGCTGACGCCCAGCTCCCCCGTGTGACGGGCACAAGAGCGGGCCCAGGCAGGAGCCTGGCCCGTGCTCACCCACAGGACCAAGCCGGCAGTAGTTGGCGTCCCCTAGGCTGGGACCGAGGAGACGGGGCAGGGAGGGCATGTTCTTGGAGAGCCTTTCTCTCCCAGCTCAGCACCAAAAACAGCAAAGGCGTCACTGTGACAACACAGAGTAGACCATGGGCCCCTGGGGACACTTCCTCTGGCCCACGTGGAGGAACATTCAGCTGGCCCTGACCGTCTCACTTGCACACAGTGCCTACTGTATGCCTGCGTCCGGCGCCAGGCACACACCGATCACTCCTCCGACCACCACCACGGGGCAGGGGCTGCAGTGGGCAGAGGGGCAGAGCAGGGAGCGGACATTCACAGAAGACCTGGGGGAGGTGCACTCAAGGTGCGAGGGCTGCGGTGAGAGGAGTCGGCACGTTTCTGGAAGGCCAGCGTTATCCGCATGAGGAAAGCAAGGGGCAGTGTGGCTCTGCACCTTGGTGTTGGTAAAGCTGGGATGACAACTGTCCCCACCTCATGGGTTGTCACAGACACTTCAAAAAGGCTTAGTTGGAGCAGAGCCCATGATGTCACGTGCCCTCAATAGCCATTTTAGTAAGGAGGGACTGACCGTGACTGTGATCATGGAGAGGATGCACCGAGAGGCGGGGCCAGGATTCAAAATCAAGCCCTGAGGCTCACCCTCTTTAATCAGTTTCTTGCTAGGAAGGGACAGTTTCCTCCCTACCCTCGGGGGACAGGCTCACCTTCACCCTTCACCTTTGAACCCTAGTGCCAGGAACACAGAAGGCACTTCTGACAAAATGCTGTTAAATAAACAAGCAGGAGAAAGGGGCAGTGAACAGGCGTTCCCTCAGTTCCACCCTCAATGAGGTCACAGGGCTCAGGAGCTGGAGTCAGACGCCAGAGCCCTGGGTTCGAATCCTGGCCTCGCTCAGCCGTGTCAGCGGCAGCGGTCCTCAGCCTCAGCTGTAGGGACATGTTGAGCTGGACCATTCTTTGCTATGGGGACCCTCCTGTGCACGGCAGGATGCTGAGCCGCTTCCCTGGTCTGTACCCACTAGCACCCAACTCCCAGTTATGACAACCAAAAATGTCTTTGGACATTGTCAAATGTCCCCCGGGGGGCAAAATCACCCCCAGTTGAGAACCACTGGGCTAGGTGCTTTAGTGTTCTGTACCTCAGTTCTCCATTTATAAAATGGGGCCATAGAGCTGCCCTGTGAACTAAATGGGGAAATACGTGTAGAATCATCTGGAACAGTAACCAGGACAGCAAAGTACTCAATAAATATTAGCTACAAGTCGCTGCTGTCCTGAGTGACACAGACATGGAAATCAACAAATCCCACCCAAAGTGAGAGCCCAGCAGTCACAGCAAAAACAGGGCACCCAGGAAGCTTCCAGGGAGGAAACCCAAGGAGGTCAGGAACCTTTCAGAACATTCCCAGGGTACTGAGATGGATTGTGAGGGAGGCACATGACTGACAGACGGCCCAGGAGGAGCGGCTTTTCAGACAGAGAGCAGGCGGGCAGAGGCAGGGACAGGAGCCGGTGGAGGCCCAAGGCCCACGTCCTTAAGGAACTTAACAAAAACCAAGACTACAATGTTTACAAACAGGGAGGCTGAGGGGCTGAGAGCCGAGGAGCGCAAGGCTGTATTTGTCACTCTTGGCTGTTTGGGAACATCTGCTGAGCTGACAAAGTGGGAGAATGACCACCAAGCGTCTAAACTGCCAGCGCCTTAAGTCTTCCTGTCCCTGTCCCCTTCAGAGAGTGGGATAGTTGCAGACCCTAACTACAGCCCCACCGCAGAGCTTCATTTGCAGGGACATACCATGGGAGGAAAGAGGGGTAGCAGCCCTGCAAAGACCAGGGGGATCCACGTGCCCGGGCCTTGGTACTTCTCTAAGGGCAAAGTAGGTGTCAGAAACTCAGGACAGCCATCGGGGGTATTTTTTCCAGCATCAAATTCGTTGAGCTTTTCCTGAAATTAATTGCTACCTTCCTTCACCCAGCTCGGCTGGGTCTCCTGCCGTCTCCTGTCCTGCAGTGGGGGCTCCCAGTGTGGCTTGGGCCGATTCCAACCTCGAGGCCCCGGAGCTCAGCTTACCAGGGAGCCAGTAACAAAACGCTGGTGACGACAGCACCACTTTCATCAAGCATGAATGAGCTCAATTACCTCCACCAGAAAAAATGGAGCTTCAAAGGGAAACAGGGAAAAAAGAGAGGAAGAGGGGCTGGGTGAAAATAATCAGTCTTAATTAGTCTTATCTCCGAGGGAAATACATATGATAATTTTAGTGCCCAAAGAGATTCAAATTAGTCTTATGATAATCATTACATTTTAGTGGGTCCTACTGGCAATGACAGACATGACCATTCCCCAGTCATTATTTTTCTGAAAATGATTCTCACGATGAAAAGGAAACCTGAGAACTTCAGAAGTTGATTCTGCCCAATGTGGTCAGTCTGTCTTTGGGGGGATCTGTTGGTCCAGGGGTCCCCAGCTGCCTCAGCTTGCCCTGCCCTAGCGTAGCCCCAAGCTCTCTCCACCCTGGATTCTCTGACAGGCCTGCTGCTAGTGGCCCAGGAGGCCAGTGCCTGGCCTCCATGACACCAGGTTAGGCACCACCCTAGGGCTCCCGGCCCAGCCGCAGGACAAAGTCGCTGGAGGCGGGATTGCTTGAGAGGGCTCGTGACAAATCAAAGGGCCAACTGCGGGGATTAACCTGGGTCACCCACCTGAATGGGCAGGAGTGAGCTCTGACTGTGTGCACTTGCCTGGCATACAGCAGACACTCCATAAATATCTGCTTAGTGAATGAAGACTGTACACTTGCCAACACCCTGGAGTGCCCCAGACCCTCTCCCAGGGACCCTCGGCCGCAGTTTCTCCATCCAAATCAGGACAGCCAGCCAAAGCACTGTCCCCCAGGCCACGCGGCAGGGTGGGGGTGTGGGGGAAATGGGATGCAGGCTCACCCATGGGCACCTTCCAGAAAGGAGGGGGCCGACTGTGTGGCTGGCTGGGACACCTGATCAGGCACTTCAGAGCAGGCGGAGACACCCACTCTAGGCCATGAGGTGGGAGGGGAGGATCACTGCCCGTCGAGAAGGTGGCATGGCACAGGGCCCCTCTGAAACTCAGGGCAGGAGGGAAGAGCCACCCACTCAGGTGTGGGCTGCAGGGCGGGGGGTCTCCTGCCGCCTTTGCCTTCCTCAGTCACTGCCAAGCCCCAGTGTAGGCAGGAATTTAGGATTAACTCTCAGCGAGACAGCGGGGAAGGGACCTCAGGAACCAGACAGGACCACCAGACCGACAGACAGCCACAGACAGGCGGGGGCGGGGGGGAAGAAGAAAATGGTGCAGGCAATCAAAATGCCTTTCCTGAAATTAATTACCAGATTATAAGCAGCATGCTGCAAGGCGCGTCCCGCCCGGCAGCCCCCACCCCGTCTGCCTGCCAAGCGCCCGCCCCGGTGGCTCTTCCTCCTCTTCTGATGCCAAGAGCCCTGCGAGTCATCCCTCCTCTGTGCTCCTGCTTTCTTCCTGCTCCACAAATACCTGCTAATACCTCTGACCCTTGTCATAAGCTCGACAAACGTGTGCTGGGTGCTGGATAACTCCTGCGCGAGCACACAACAATTTCTCCGGTGTTTATACTAAACACATTAGGGCAGAGTCGATGGAAGGATCGCAAAGTTACCTCCGGTATGAACCACGTCCCGCCTAATCCCCAGAGAGTTTCCAAGAAGACGGACTGTTCCCCGGCAGGACCACCGCACACTCATTTCTCAAATGCACCGTGATTGCACGTAACAGGCGATCAAAGACCAAAGTGAGATTCGCGGCGGGGACGCAGGGATGAGTGTTTTCCTACTGCTCTTGGGCTGGCTCTTTCTTTTTCAAAACAACCGTTGGCTGCATTTGGAGCCATTTATCTGTGTGTTTGGTCAGGATGTCTCACGGTAAGTGCGTCTTCAGAGGCAGAGGAGGTGAGTCACTTTCCACTGTGACAACGAGGCACAAAAAAGCCAGCAACGTCTTTCGAGACCCGAGTGGTGAACGGCCCATGATCCCTACGTACCCCAGTTCTGCTGTTCATGCGCCAATTAAACGTGCGATCCGGAATAAACTACTTTTAAGTTTCACGCCACTCAAAAGCAGCACATGTCATTTCACGCACTTGGGTTTTGCTTTTGTTTTTTAAGTGGATCTCACACCGTAACCTTCCCCTTCTGCTCTCATACAGGGTGACTCAGGTCACCCAGGGAAGACGAGGAAGACTGTGGCTCCCATCAGGAAGGTGTCTTCCCGTGGGGCCCCTGGCTGAGAAGTGGGTTTTGCTTTTGTTTTTTAAGTGGATCTCACACCGTAACCTTCCCCTTCTGCTCTCATAGAGGGTGACTCAGGTCACCCAGGGAAGACGAGGAAGACTGTGGCTCCCGTCAGGAAGGTGTCTTCCCGTGGGGCCTCTGGCTGAGAAAGGGCCACCTGACCATCCCCCCAGGAGGGGAGCGGGAGAGGAAACCCTAAGAAACCATCCGACACACAAGCCGAGACCCTCTGTGCACCGGCGCCAAGCCCCAGCCCTCAGGCCCCAGGCAGCACCCTCCGGCCACCTACCGGTGAAGTCCTGGAAGCACTCGCAGGTGTAGCCTCCCTCGCGGCTGCGGCAGCGGCCGTGGGCGCCGCACGGGCTGGAGTAGCACAGGTCGATCTCGGTCTCGCAGTAGTCGCCGGTGAAGCCGGGCGGGCAGCGGCAGCGCAGGCCGTTGATGGGGTGGATGGGCCGGAAGAGCACGGTCGTGGAGCTGATGAAGGGGGCCGAGCTGTCGAACCTGAGCACCGAGACGCACTTCATGTAGTTCTCGCAGGGCTCGCGCAGGCAGATGTTGTCGTCGAAGGGCAGCACGCGCTGGGTGGAGATGGCCGTGAGCAGCGTGCGGTTCAGGTACAGCTGCTCCTGCAGGTCCTCGGACGGGAAGAACTGATCGCGGACGCCGCCGGGCAGCAGCGCCGAGAAGGTCACGTTCAGGATGTTGGAGCTGACGTCCGTGTCGTTCTGGATATTGAAGACGAAAATGTCGTCCTTGGTGGTAGACAGCACTGTGGCCACCCCCTCCACAAACAGGGACAGCAGCGGGGAGAGGAACTTCTCCTGGGACATGTTCTCCAGGCGGACGGTGATGCTGTTGGTCAGCATGTTGTCCGTGATGATGGTGACGCGCAGGGTGCAGAGGGCCGTGACGCTGTGGATGCCATCTGTGGGACACAAGGAGAGTTGGGTCACTCGGATGCTACCGGCCCCAACCCAGGAACAGCCTGGCACACAATTAGCAAAGGAGAAGTGGGCCTGGGCACCCCCGCTCCCCATCCCCCCCACGACCACCACTTTGACTTGCTTCTTTGGCCCTGGTCCTCTCCTGCCTGCCCGTGGGGGGACTGTGAGCCATGTCACTTGTCCAGAACGAAGGAGCACACCCATCCTGAGTCCCAGCGCATTCAGGTGCTTTGTTTGATCACGGTAGCAAACCTGAGATCCCAGGAGATTCTGACAGAAATGGCACCACCCATTGAACAGATGGGAAAACCGAGGCACAGAGAAGATGAGCTTCACGCCCAGGAATGCGCGCCCGGCCACAGGGGAGCCCCGGTCACCAGTAAGTCCCGTGTCAGGCACTGAGCGCTGTTCTCCTGCTCCATTCAGTCCTCCCGATAACTGGCAAGGCTGAATTTACAAAACGAAAACAACACTTGCACACCCTCAGCGTGGGGAGGGCGCCTCTCACTCTGGCATAAAACCCAGATGCCCAAGGACTCACGGGTCTGCATGCGAGTCCACGCCGCACAGCCGGCGCGGGAACAGCCACAGCCAAACCTGTCACTCAGGTTTCCCACAATAAGCATGTATGTTTTGGTTTCTAAAATATACCTTATTGTAACAAAAGAAAAAAATGAAAATCCCAATTAAAACCAAATTTTAGTACCCATCAGCATCCTTCTGCCTTCTAAGTGCCCAACTGAGAAAAGCACCTCCGAGAGCGGAGTGTGCACCAGCCTCCAGCACAGAGGCCCCCAGCCACCACCAAAGTGGGCCCCACGCAGCCCCGTGCCCTCCGACCCAAGTGGTCTCCTACCTGCCCATTCCCTCCTCCTCCCCATCCACCTTTGTCTGCACATCTTCCAGGCTGAGTCCAGCATCTCCTCTTCTAGGAAGCCTTCCCAGAAATTACCCCTCCCCCAACCAGTGCAAGCTGCGTGTCCCCAGTGCCCAGCCCAGGCTCTGCCACCTACGAGCACTTGGTACCTATCTGCCCAGGGGAGGGAGGATAGGCTTCACTCCTGAATGCTCGTTATTGGCATCCCAGGACAAGCTCACAGCCCCCAGGTTTCTCTGTGGGCGCTCACCTCCTTGAGGCTGGGCCGGGCCAGGACACCTGCTGCTGTGTCAGAGCCACGTAAGGCTGTGGCAGGTCTTTGCCATCTCCTCCAACCTCAGCACCCACATCCCACCAACCCTCCTGCCCTGCTCCTCTCTTCGCAGTGGATGATCTCAGGGGACACATCACTGAGGAAGTGACATGACCCCCCACGCCCAGGCCCACCAGCCCCTGCATCTCTGCACACTCCCAAGGCGAAGGAGGATTCCTCCCCAAGAAGCAGCCCCTACTGCTCAGCGCCCCTGCTCAGCACCCCTTCCTCTTGCATCCACTCCCCCTCTGTGCTGAGTGACCGCTGGGGACACACGAACACACCTCCGGAGCCCCCGCCCCAGCCCCGGGCTTGTCAGCGGCCGTCCCGCTCCCTGCTCTCCTGCACGGCAGAACGTCCGCAAAGAGCTGTGCGCACCCGACACTTCCACTTCCTCACCTTCCGTCTCTCCCAACCCAGCCCCAGACTGCCCTGCAGCCCTGCCACTCCCCGGAGACACACTGGCCAAGGTCACCAACAGCTGCCTGGTGGTCATGGCCAAGGCCCACTTCTCTGTTTCCATCTCACTCACCCGCTCAGCCACACCTGAGCACTTTAACATACCTGTTCTCAGCGTCTGAGACCCCCCCGGCCTGGCCATGACACTGTGTTCCCCACCCTCCGCTGACCTCAATGTCCTCATGACTGGGCTCATCTCCACATGGCTTCTCCTCCCATCTCTGCATCCTCCCCAGGTGACCACATCAGCCCCAAGGCCCCAAACCCACATCTCCAGCCCCAGCCTCCTCCCGGAATTCCACACGCACAAACCCAGTGCTTGTCTGGGGGTTGTCACGGGAAAATCAACCTAGAATGACCCCAAAAGAGAACTGAGCATATCCCTGGGTCTGCCCCTTCTGGCTCTCTAGGTGCTCCAGAGGATGTTCCGCAAGTTCCCAGATTCCTCTCTCTGCTCGGCTCAATGGCCACTGCAGAGGCAACACCACTGGCCACGGCGCTGGAAGCAGCCACCCACCCCCGTGCTCCGTGGCACTATTGACAGGGGACAGAACGCGCAAGGGGC